AATAAAAATCTAGGGAAAAACTCTTTATATTATTCTACTGTATTCATGTGCCAAGTTTTCTTTATTTGATTGCATTTCAAGATTATTGTGTATAATGTTGAAATAAACAGGAATAGATTGAATTCCTTTAATTTATAGGGATATCTACCCAAAAAGGGGTCACCATAATAGGCTAAATTATGTTTAGGCTTTTGACTAATTTTCCTATTACTTCCAAAATGTCTTTACTAACTTACATGGTGACTGTTAAGGACTGAAGGTGATCCCCTTTCTTTATATCCTCCCTAGCTAGTCAGTATTCAGGTTTTTAATGGCATCATTTTAACAGGCATGGGTGATATCTCATTGTTGTATTTATTAGCATTTCCTGATGGTTAGAGACAGCATTTTTTCACACATATTTGACCATTTGTATCCCTTCTTTGAAAATATTGTTTCAAACCTTTTGCTTACTTTTAAATCAGATAGATTTTCCTTGGCACTGGGTCATTTGTATTCCATATAAATATTGGATATAATATCAATCCCTTTAAAGTTTATCCCAAAAGTATTTTATCCCAATCTATAGTTTGTCTATGAACTAGAACCAGAGGAAAAACTTAATTCTTTTCTCTGTATAAATGTTTTAAAATTTTATTCTTTGTTGCTGCCTAGCCCAGTTGTCATCAGAGAGGTTCCATCCAGAAACTGATGGAAACTGATGCAGAGACCCCATTCTTAACATGAGAGCAGAGCCACAGGAATCCTGGGGGGGAAGGGAGAGGAAGAATTGTAGCAGACAGAGGTTTCAAGGACAACACAGGAAAACAGACAGAATCAACTAACCAGGGTTCATAGGGGCTCACAGAGACTGAACAAGACAATCAGGAGCCTGCATAGATGTGAACAAGGTCCTCTGCATATATGTTGTGATTATGCAGTTTGCTATTCTTGTGGGGTAGAGGGCTGTCTCTTTTGATGGCTTTTACGATGCTCTTCTTCATATGGGACTGCCTTATCCAGCCTTAATAGAAGGGTAGGTGCTTAATTTTGATGAAACTTGATATGCCATGTTTTTTTGATATCCATCAGAGGCCTGCCCTTTTCTGAATAGAAATGGAGAGGTGGAAAGGTGGAGGGCAGAGGGAAGAGTGGGAAGGGACTGGAGAGAAGGCAGGGCAAACTGTGATCAAGATATAAAAATAAATAAAGGGAAGAAAAGAAGAAGAACGAGAAATTTATTCTTTGAATTGTGAAAATACACACACACACACACACACACACGTGCACGCGCATATATGGAAATAGGATAATTTCCAGCCCACATTTCTCTCCTCCAACTCCCACAGTTCCCTTGCAATACATTCCTCTCCCAGCTGTACGTCCTCTTAGTTTTATAAAAATAACTCATTAAATCCAATTGATGTTGGCTTTTTGTGCAGAGGTATGGAACCATTAGTTGTTGCAGTGTCAATCTTCCACTAATGTTCTCTCTTCCCTGGCAAGTGTCAACTGCCAATAGATGCTATTTTTGGGATGTAGCCTTCTATCCGTTGTGTGTGCCTACTGTATCAAGTCAAAAACTTTGCCATTTGATCCCACTATGAGAATTTTCTTAGTATGTAAATGTAGACCCCTTATACTTTTGTGGCCCTAATTTCATGTTATGACTTATAATTTGTATGTCTAATATGAAATATTTTTGATTCATAACTGTTTACTTTTTACTTAATTACTTGTATGTGACTTTAATGATTATAGTGGGGATAGAAAGAGAAGTATTGCATTGACATTCTATTTACATTAACTGAGACTACAAAATAAAATATAAACTTGAAATTATTAAAATGAATAAAAACGCAAACATGTATATCTTTATATTGTCACTCATTAGAAATTACTTTTATGATTGAATAAATTGCTACCTACTTGAAAAAAACTCAAAGTTACTGTGCTTTCTGTTGTAAAAATAATTCTGGTTATACAAATTTAATTGTATAACACATAATCTCTAGACTTCAACAATAATATCTGATAGAATATTATTGCCTTTGATCTTGAAAAGCTTCCCCTAAATTTAAGAAATCTTATTTTTTAATTACTAATTTATATTCCAATAAATTAAGAGTATTTCTCTGGCTCTTAATTAAGCTTTGCTTGCTTAGATATCAATAAACAATTAGGAGACATAATTGTGAAAAATAGCTATGATTGTGTGCTAAATTAGTGCTGCGAGCCAGTACAACCATCGTTCTTGAACAGTGTATATCAAGCTTCAATGTGTATTGAATAAACTTGGAAGTTTTTTTGTTAAAATGTGTTTGCTTATTTTATTTCTGAATTTATATATTTTTACATGAGTACTACATTCGCGTCATTTCCATCTCCAGTTCTCCTGCCTCCAGCTTCCATTCCTACTCCCATCCATTCCCTCTTGTTGCTATGACCTCTTATTATTATAATTATATATATGGGACATAGATGATATAGACATAGATATATGTAGAAATATAGGTATAGATATAGGTGTGTGTGTGTAAATATATCTTATCGAGTCCATATAGTGGGTCTTAAGCTGTATCTGTTGATTACCCTTGAAATGTAAGTCCTACAGTTGCATCCTTATACATAACAGAAAGACAATCACTATTATATTATTTGTGGATTCTAACTCCAAATCCTTTTGTGAGTATAGGATCTGTAATAGTCACAGAAACCAGGAAAGCAAAAAGAACCAGGATAGGGATAATTGGAGTTGTAGTAAGGGGAGTAATAGGAACCGAGTGCTGTGACTGCAGAAATGAGAAATGCTGGATGGTACCTTACCTAGCAAAGGACGGGGATGTTAAAGGTAAACTGAAAAGGAAAGATAGAGAGATAAAGTACACCAAGGACAATTGGAAAATACAAAGAGAAACAATTTTAACTAAAATACACATAACATATATGTGTGTATATTTATATATTTAAATCATTTAAATTAGGTTATGTTATTTGAGGTGATAATGCTCCATTCAAGAGCCATAGACTGTTTAACACGAACTCTGGTGGTAGACACCTCATTTAAGTTGTTGGTCAGGGGACAACATGAGACGCCCTAAACAATGCAGGCTATTGCCATTTTCTTTGGTTGCCTCCCAGGCTGGAAAGGAAAACACAATTTCTGGAGACAAACCCTATTTAAGACACAACACTTGGAGAATTGAACTGGAACTGACATGGAGCACCCTCACCCCTGCCACCCAGAGCTAGTTCTGATAACACCCAAAGGTGCTAAGAAAACTGACAAGGTAGAAAAGAAATTAAATTTCCTCCTCAGCTGTAAAGCCAACAAAACACAGCAATGGCAAAGAAGTTTTAATTTATATGCTCTCCTTCAAATGTGTTCCTATTGCTGGAGAACTACTTACTTACACACAGACTTTTTCCTCCAGCAAACATTTTACACGTTCCCTTTACATTGTTGCCTAAACCTTAACCTTATCTAGTGCATCCCTTAGAGGGTGTGGTGTATGTGTGTGTGTGTGAGTGTGTGTGTGTGTGTATGTGTGTCCATGCGTCCAAAACTCAGTAATATATGGATAACTTTTTTTCACCTGTGGCTATTCTTAGATTTTTAGAATCAAACAATATTATTGAAACTGATTATGTGAGATAACTGAATCTTGGCTGTAAACAGTACATCTGATATCTACCATTTACTGGTGAGATTCTATCGTGAGGTCATCTTTGTTCTCTTTCTATATACTCTGACCATTGGTTAGCAACAAATTACAAATGCACAGCCATATATACATATCAAGACACAGTATATGAAGACCCTGCACAAATGCTTTTAATACCCCTTTGGAATAACTGGTTGCAATCTAAGTGGTCCTCAGAGTCATTTGAGAAAGCTTCTAAATGACAAACTTGGGGTCCACCTCAAAGTTTCTGACTGAGCAGATATGGGAGAGGACAGTTTCCTACACAACGGTGTTGTAAAATTTATAAGATTCCCCTCCTATTATATTAAGCCGTTATCTCTTATTTAACTATGATTTACTTATTTAATGATACTTTCTATAAGATTTCTTAAGCAATTCTTCCAGAGAAAAAAATCTCCACATGTTTTATATGTATAGCAGTATGTTATATTCAAGAGTTTTTCAAGTCTGTAGTTGTATTATAATTGCCTAAATTGTCGTAAAACTTAAGTGTACTACCCCAAAATTTTGGAGATACGAATTTTCTTTTTTACTTTAAATAAAGTAAAAATAATTATGATTATGGTAAATATATTTCTGAATATTTCACTTTCTACTTGTACATGGAACTTTTCCTTTTTATTTAAATTCAAATTTTAAACAATTCAATAAAAGAGAAGCCTTGGGCACTGCAGAATAGCTTCTGTATTTATCATATTGAAGATGATTAGAAGTCAAGATCAACATGGAAATTGCTTCATTAATAATTTAATATATTCCTCTAAAGTATATTTTATTAAAACTATAGATGTATGGAACATAATGACCTAAAACCTGACAGTGCAGACTACCTGAACTTCTATAGAAGTTTTATAATTCCTGAACTATCTGCTTAACCTGTAATAAATGTATCTGTACTCAGTAAGAGTTTCCAAGTCAGCAGATAACACAGTAGTTCTAATAAAATGTTAAAAACTTTGAATTCTTCATCTGGCAGAAGGATGGGTTGAAATTAATGGGTGTCAAAATCAAATGGTGTGTGCTCTTTTTTTTTAACTTTTATATGCAAAGTTAACACTGCACAAGAATTGATAAACATGCTAATTTTATTAATGGATGTAATCACACTGAAAGTTTAATAATTTAAATAAGTCATCAATTAGCATCTTTATCATAAGCAATAAATAAAAATGTTATAGTAGCTCAAAAAAGAATAGCTGAAATCTATGTTGTTTGACTTTTATTTTAAAATATATCTGCATTCTATGATATTGACTAACAATAATTCATAAGCATTACATGACTGAAATCTCTACTTTTTTCAATGTTTCCTAGGCAAAGATGCAAAGTCCAAACCACCACGTATGTTATGTGCATGTCCAATGAGTGAATAAATTGGTAAATGCATGCTTTACATGTCTACTTGAGACCATTTTAAATATTTTGTTGAGAGCTCATTGCCTAACTTTTGTCTAGGTGCTGTGCATATAATTCAACTATATTTCTTACACTACACTATGCTGAAATTTTCCTTTATCCTTTATTCTTTCTTAACTATAAACACAGCCTTCCTTGAAACTGTCATTAAAAGTTTTAGCTTATAATTCCATACTTTTTCCTCAAAGTAATTCTTGTTTGATTGGGAAAAAAGGTCTTTGTGTTTGGTTGGGAAGAAAAGGCCTTTTGTTATCATAACTACAAGGAAAATATCACTGATTAAAGTATAATTGCTGCTATATAAAAGACATGCATGTGCAGAAAAGAGATCGACACCATCGTGTAATCATTATCACTTACATTTTTAGAGCCACAAGTGAAAAAAGAAGAGAAGATAGGTATGTATTTTCATATAAATTTCATGCCTGCATTCCATATCTATAATGATAGCATATCTTTTTGAAATATTATGGGAAGCTAGATTTTCAAGTATAAACAAAACCCTGGTCAGTGGTGGTCTCTGTCTAATCCTTCCCTCCTGAACTTATTCCTTCCACCACTTCTCAGTCTCTCAAAAAATTGCTATCCTACTCACATCAATCAATCAATCAATCAGTTAATTAATCAAACAAACAGCAAGTCTTTATGGACAAGATTATTATGTTGCTTATTGTAAAGAGAACCTGGCATTTTGACTTTGTTACAGTCATGGGGAATCCATTTATACACCAAAAATGTACTTTGAGAATTATAAAGACATAATATTTACTCACTGAGGGAAAAATAAAATAACAAAGCTTTTTGTAACTGGTCTAATATATCAACCTCCAGAAAAATCATGTTTGTATACATATAAACACTACAAGAAGTTTCTATTTTACAAAGAAGGCAACCGACTCATTGCCTTGACTCTTACTAACCCATAACTTTTCTCTAAATTTCAGAAGTACAGACTTCCTAGCAGATATATATCTATCTTCATACTTCCCTTTCTAGTCTCCTGAGTTAGATGGACAATTCTATAACTGGTAGTATGCATCAGAAACAATTTCAAAAGAACACAAATCTCCTGATTGTGAAAACAGCTAAAATTTTGATTCATGGCTGTTGAATACATTTGTGCCATAAAACTGAGGTCAGTAAGATACCACAAACTGGAAGACTTTAAAAATGAATGTTTTTTCCTTCAATTACTAGAGTCTACAAATTCAAAATCAATGACTTGGTTAAGCCTTGTATTTTTTTAAACCCACAGAGAAGAAGCCATCTTTGCCTTTTTTAACTGCTAAGGCTTACCAGCATTCTTTCTGTCTTTCTTGCATACAGCCTACTGTAGCTTCGTCTCCATGGTTACATGGTCATAGTTTCCATGAGCATTTTTGTCTCAGTAGCTTTACTCTTAAGAACTCCAGTCACTCCACTATTGCTTAGCTTGCCAATTGGTGTTATCCCTTTAGATCACTCGAGGTCACTCTGGTGCCTGATCTGTCTTCTATCCTATGATTCCCTCTTCCCCCTATTCTACCCCCACCCACTCAACTTCCTGTTCCCCCATGACCAACTTTCTTCCTCTTCACCCCCTCTCTTCTTCCCAGCTCCCACTCCCTCCCACCCCTCGCCGTGTTCCCCATCTATTCAGAGGATCTTATCTCAATCCTCTTCTCTTGGGTACTATGCATATATGCATATCTTTTAGGTTCTTTCCTGTTTCCTAGACTCTCTATCAGTGGAAGTGCAGACTGCCACTATCCTGATCCATGTCTAAAATCCATATATGAGTGAGTACATACCATGTTAGTCTTTTTGCGACTGGGTTACCTCACTCAGGATGGTTTCTTCCAGTGCTATCCATTTACCTGCGAGTTTCAAGATTCCATTGTTTTTTTCTGCTGAGTAATACTCCATTGTGCAAATGTACCACATTTTCTCTATCCACTCTTCAGTTGAGGGGCATCTAGGTTGCTTCCAGTTTATGGCTAAGAGGTGTTCCTTGTAGGAGGGAGGAGCTTTATATACAGGTTTACAGCACAGTGGAAAAACCCCAGGTAGAAGAGATAGTTGTTTTCCTCCTGCTAGATGTTGATGTCAGAGGGTCAAGGCCAGGGCAGTAAGCCAGGACTAGAAAACAGAAAGCACTTGGACTGGAAAACAAGTTGCCCTTGTAGGCTGACCAGCAACTCACAGAAACCCCATGGGGCTGGGGCCCAACACAGGGGCAAACACACAATCACTGAACTGAATCCAAGGAACCCAGTGACAGAGAGAGAGGAGTGATGAGCAAATTGGCAAAGAATGGGCTGGCAAAACCAGCAGAGACAGCTGATCTGAACAGGGGAGAGCTCTTGGCCCCCAGACAGTGGGGAGGCCAGCATGGGACTGATCTGGACCCCCCAAATGTGAGTGTCAGTGAGAAGGCCTGGGCAACCTATGGGGCCCTGAGCTGTGGATCAGTGTCTATCCCTGGTATACAAACTGTCTTCATGTGCCTATAGCACAAAGAAAGATGCTCTCTCAGCCTGGACTCTTAGGAGAGTGCCTTGGCCCTACCAAGAGTAAAATGACAGACTCTAGATATCCCCTATGTGGAAGGATTTGGCAATAGGGTGGGAGGAAGGGGGGAAGGGGAGTGCGGGAAGAGGGGAGGGAGAGGGAACTGGGATTGACATGTAAAACAAGCTATTTAAAATTAAAATAAAAAATGATAGAAAACTAAAAAAAAAAAAAAAGAAGAGGCCAGCACCACTGAGGTGACATCTTCTCAGAAGTGTTTCCTGAGAGCACACAGAAGCTGTGTTCCAGAGGCAGCCAAGGTTGTACCTCGGGCTGGCAGCTAACCTTGGTCATAAAAAAAAAAAAAAAGATTAAAAGTTTGTCAACAACAATTAGTTGGTGCTGTTGGTTTTCCTGCAGTACACATTTGGTAATTTTTTTCGCAGTTTAAGACATTCCTACTTTGATGTAGAGATTATAAATTATTGTATTTATATTTAAAAATTTATTATAGAATATCCTCATAAACTCATTCATCAGTTTTTGCGGTTGAATTCCTTTCATACGCATTGCACTTTTTTGTTACAGCAAAAAGTAAAATTTAACACATCATTCTTAATTAAAAGTTTCTACTCTTTTGTTTGGTTTTGTGTAACACGTTTTACTCCTGTAAATCATTCTAAAGATTGGTCTCATACCCAGAGATCTGCCAGCCTCTGCCTCACATATGTTAGAAATAAACCGTGTGCAATGAAAACTTACAATTTTCTCTTCAATGAGGCCCTTCTGAAGGCAGTTACTGCCATTATTCTCATGTCTTCCTTTTTATTTTTATTATTCCTTTGTATTTTAAGTTTTAATTTTCTTTAAATTCCCAGGGTATCACTTTACATGGCTGTCCTCATTTTTCTCTTCTGCTTATCTAATGCTGTAAATTTCTTACTGTAATTTCAATTGCTTTGCATAATTTTAATTATGTAAATATTTATTATTAAGTGGAAACACTTTTGAGCCATCATGGAGTCTGTTCTTTCAAGCATGTTTATAATCCACTGTGCTACTTAACTTCTGAACAGTGAAATTTTATTGTTGTCCTTCTGCTTTTAGCACAGAAGTTACTGGTTATTGTACCATATGTTATTTATTTCTGCAATTCTGTGATTTTCCATTAAATATATGGTTAAAAAAAAGAACTCCAGTCACAGTGGATGAAGAACCTACCTACATGTCTATTGTGACATCTTTACCAATTACATCTGTAAGAAGCATATTACAAATAGAATAACATTCTGAGAACCTGCAGATAAGGACTTGGACATACGTTTTGGAGTACATAACTTATTCCATTCAAGTCCATCCTTTATCTCACCAAAATTCATGTCTTTCTTATGTACAAAATACACTGATAGCACACCTACATTGTCAAATATGAATTACTGGATCATCCTATTAATTCTACCTGTTAATTTCATTTTACAATTCTAGATGTTGATGTCATTCTCTAAGAGATCTACATCAGCTTTGGTTGGAAAAAATGTGATTAAAAATGTTCTCTACCTGTGGGTCCATAATGAATTATCTGTTTACAAATACACATTCTCTTTCAAGTGGAAAAGTTAGAAGTAAAACTAAGAATGTGATGGGTAAACAAGTTCTCCATCCTGGCTAATTTCAAATCTTGAGAATATTCTGTTTCTCTTCTCTGTCTTCTGGGCTTGATGGGATGGTGGTTATGCTTCATCACTCCTCCTCCTGCAGAAGAAAGGCTCCATCCTGTTTAGTCATTTCTTCATTTGATATTTTCTCTGTTCCTTAGGAGTGTTTTCTAATTTAAAATTCTCAATAGCTTGATTCATGTCCACTTTCGATCCATAATGATTCAATAAAGACAGAATCCTCCATGGCCATCTGAACCATTTTTCTTTTATTTTCTGTAGAAGTGACTGGTTGGATCAAGCTGTTTTATGCATAATTTCAAACTTTTGTTGAGCTACAGTTAACTCTGTCTCTGGTATTATTATAGATTGGATGAAAATTTCCTAAATCACTGTGGCATTTATTTTTCACTAATGGTCCTAATTGTATTTCACATTCTATTATAAGGAACAAATAGATTATCAGTCTACACAGTTCTTCAGCATTTTCTTAGAAATATTCTGATAATAGAACTGAAGTTATTTGCTTATAATTTTGGCCTTTAAATCTATAGAAGAACATGATTCCACTAGGTGCTCGGCCTTTCAACAAATACACTCTTTTCTCCAGAGACCAAGATTCATCTCATTCTTTGTCCTCCAGTGTCCAATAATGTGTCACATTTCCTAATGAGGAAAAGCAACAAAGCCTTCTTAAGCATCCCTGTTACAAAGAGCCTGTTGTTTAAATGCACAGTAGTGCATAAACTTTGGTTTGAATATCATCCTTTTTCAAAACCCATGTGTGACCAATGCAACAGGACGAGGAGATACGCCACAAACTGGTAGTTAGACTGTGATGGTTCCTGTTTCCAGAATAAGATCATTGCTGTTATGGAAGTATTTTCACGTGCATCCTTCCTTTTTCTACCTGCTACCTTCTGTCCTGTGGTGCCACAGCACTCTTTCTATCCAGAGGATGCAGCACCAAGATACTATCTTAGAACTAGGGACCGCAGGTGCTAGCAATTAGCTCTTGTCTTGAACTTCACTACCTAAGGTACTGCGAAGAGTAGGGTTTTTTTCCCATATAAATCATCCACTGTATGTTTTCTGCTATTCCAGAAAAAAAACAGAGACAGAAATGCAGATTTTTGTAAGGATCTCTGTGAGGTCCAAGTTAGGAAGCCAGAAAATGAGGAGGGTCAAGGGAGACTAGGAGGATGAAGATACTACAAGGATTCATATGCAGAGGTGTCATGCTTTATTCACAGGAACACTAGTAGATCTGAAACTATTTAACTCTCCTGAGAACAGTCTTCAGTGTCAGTGCTTATGCAAATTGTAATCTCTTCAAGGGAATCCAGATTCCTTTCAAGTATTTCAAAAATTTTCCAGTATCTCTCCACTATGTAATCTAGAGTATACTTCTGTATTTGTATTTGTTACAGTAGTATTCCACAGCCTAATAAAATCTGAGTTTCTATGAATGAAATAAGGTACTTTAAACTATGTCTTAGAGCAACATGTGTGGTCCACCACCACAACTCTGCAGGTTGAACAGCATCCCTTTTCCAAGTTTAGCTGAAATGTCTTCCTTGCTTCTTCTAACTTTCAGTGGTTACCAGAAATTCATATATTCCTTGGGATTTAAACTCATCACTTTAATCTCTTCCACCATTGTCACATGTCCATCTTCTCCCTCTCTGTCTCCTATGAGGAGCCACTCTATCCTAACAAGGTCTCATCTTGTCTTAATTAATTACATTTGCATTAACACAATTTACAAATAATTTTGTAGATACTGATGCTGATGACTACCTATCTTTAGGGGGATACATCCACACCTTAATAGCTTATGACTAAATTCCAAAATTAAACAGATATCAATTAGATCTATTTCAGACATTCTCTTTCAATTTTGTTGTTGAAATAATTTATCTTATGCTATTTTGGAGCTGTTTCTTATTTTAATTTTCAGTTTGAAACTAAGAAGACAATTTAGGATTAAATCAACTCCCAAGAACCTGTTCAACCGAGGCAAATTTTTAAACAACAGTTTAATAACAGACAAGTGCATAGTGAGTTTCTATCTACTGTATTCAATAATCCTTCCTTAACAAAGCACCATGAATCTGGATTAATCATTAGCAAAATTATTTACTGAGTATTGAGATAATCAAATACAAATTATTTGCAGTGACAAATTTGTGCTTTAGTTTATTCTCTTGAGATAATTTTTTTTCTGTTTTATTCCCTGCATTCAGAGTTGCAAGTTATAAAGGAAACAAAACCAGGTAACAATATTTTAAATAGTATCAGAATTCATACTTCTTTCAGGCTGAAACTGAAAATACCACTGGCTACCAACAAAATTTCCAAATTCTTGCTTGTGATTACCCCCCTTATATTGTCCAATAATGTTTCATGGTAATCAGTGAAATGCATATTTCTATTTGGCTGGGTATATCTAGAATATGACTTTATACCAGTGGTTCTCAACCTTCCTAATGCTACAACCCGCTCATACCGAGCTTCATGTTGTGGTGATCGCCAGACTTAAAATTATTTCATTATTACTTTGTAACAGCAATTTACTGTTATATACTATGTTATAAATCATAATGTAAATATCTGACATGCAAGTAGCTGATATGTGACCCCCTCCAAAGGTGTCACAACCCACTGGTTGAGAATCACTGCTTTACACATAACTTAGAAATAGCTCCAGGATTTAGAATTTACTCTGAGTGTTTTGAAATCAAGTATAATTATGTCAGTTTTGTTGCTTTATTTCTATCATTAATTAGCAGTGTCACGAATTCACAAAATCATGAACTCTTTGAGTATGCGGAAAGCAATGGTTAGAATTCAGGAGGATGCTTGTTTAGTATGACTGGGCACTGCACTGTTACTTATCATTATGGAAGCATACAACATGGCAATTGCTATCCTTATATAATACTTTCGGAGATGATTCAAAGGGCTAAATTCATACAATTACTTTTTCAATATTTTCAAACTAACAAATGTTATAGCTAAAATTCTATGCAATGTCTAACTTTTTTCAAGATCCCCTCCTGAGTATTTCTATTAAGAGATCATCCCAGACTAACTGTGTCATTTTATTAACAGTTAATGTTAACCTAAAAAGAGGATGAATTCTTTTAGTTTATACTGTCATGATTAAGTCCTTGTTGTGGTACCAACTAGCTGCTGACCTGAGGCTGGTTTACAGAAGTCCTCAGTTTCTGTGGAAGCCATTTCTTCATTATGAGAAATGATATAGCAAAACCTTTACTTATTAACTAATCTAAGAATCCAAATCTAGATTCTTGTACAGCATTGCCATGCCCATTCACTCCTCACTAGAATTTACCCAGCAGATAATCATAACTTGTGCATGGATGCTCTTGTAAATAATATATTTGCATGCATCAGAGTTTTATGATTTATTTTCCGAATTTTTGTTTACTGGAGGCAAGTATATTTTACCAGACATTGGCATGAATTTTAAAATTGCATTTATTTCTTTAGAGAGAGGGGGGATGTATACTCATGTCAAGGTGATCAAATTGAGGGCAGAGGATAACTATTGGGAGCTGACTCACTCCTTCCATCTTGGGGGTTCTTGGGAGGAAGCTTGGCCACACATTAAGTTTGGTGGCAAGCCCACACACCTGTGGAACTTTATCACTGGGCCAGGATTAAAATTAAAGAGCCTTTTAAAGCTAGTTACAGCTAATACCATTTAAAACATTATATTTGTCAGGTAATTTATTAACTTCTTCTCCTTTCAGCACCATCTGACAAAGTCCAAATACGCAGTATGTATATCAGCTTCTTCAGCAATGCTCATATATAATCTTTTTAAAGAGTATTTTCCATTTCCAAAATTGTAAAGTTTAATCTTTGCTTCTACATTTATGCTTTGCAAAAGCCTGTGATTTGAAAATTGCAGGTGTTATGTAAATAAAGTTTTGCGTGTATGAATTGTTTGTCAAAAACAATTCCTTTAGGTCTTTGACATGAAATGGAATGGCACAGACGTTTAAAAATATTTTCTCCCCATTGGAACAATCATTATTTTCAATTTTATAAATCACTGGCCTAAGTCATAGAGCATATTCCTGTGAACTATACTAGAGAACTTCAAAGCACCCTAAATATCTTCTTATTACTTTCAGAGCAGCATGATTCCAGATCAGAGCCAGCTGTTCCTCACGGCAAAGCAGGTATTTTCCAAGCAGAATTGCTGTATTCAATTGTCCCCTATTGCTCTGTATATAAAAAGGAAGATAACTGAATCAGATCAGAAGTCACCTGTGGTAACTCAGGTCTTGAGAAATCAGCTTCTAAAGAGCATTTCCCATCCTAGTCATCATCCCTCTATCCGTTAAACTGAGAGTTTAACAGTAGGATCAAATCGACAGCCTGTCTCCCCTGCCCAGCATACCTGGGCTTGTTACAAAGAGCATCCCAGTCAGCACCCAGGTAAATGGACTCTACATGTGGACTTGTCTTTTCCCACCCTGGACAAGACAGTCTTCTAAAAGGTGTGCTTTAGATTGCCACCTATCAACTTAGACTTCCCAAGTTCCAAGAATGTTGAGGAAATTTCCCCATTTACTCCTGATTCCTCAGCTCCCTCCTTCTCTTCCATTCTGGTTTCAGGGATGGGGGTGAGGGCGAAATAGAAGTGAAACAATGTAAATTGATGAGAAAGAAAGAGACAGATCTTACTGAGGCAACTTAGTAGCTAGATTTTCCCAGGTTTTTATTTAATCACTGATTCGGTACAAAATTGGTTTTCAGCTTTTTCAGGCCTCAGTTACTGCCTACAAGTATTCCTATTCACCCTAGATTCCCAGGAAGTGCTACTCAGTTCTGTGAATGTAGTTAGTCCGATGCTTTGAGAAGTTTAAAACATTTTTTGTTTAAACAAAACTTAGGAAATAATTTGCTTGCATTCTTTTTTATTTTTAATTTTTCAAGATAGGATTTCTTAGGGCTGGAGATATGGCTCAGAGGTTAAGAGCACTGACTGATCTTCCAGAGGTCTTGCGTTCAATTCTAAGCAACCACATGGTGCTCACAGCCATCTATAATGAGATCTGGTGTCCTCTTCTGGCATGCAGACAGACATGAAGACAGGATGTTGTAGTCATAATAAATAAATAAATCTTTAAAAAAATGATAAGGTGCCGGGTGCACACCTTTAATCCCAGAACTCGGGAGGCAGAGGCAGGCGGATCTCTGTGAGTTCGAGGCTGGGCTGGACCGACAGCCTCCAAAACAACACAGAGAAACTTTGTCTCGTAAAAACCAAAAAATAAAAATAAAAATAAAAAGATAAGGTTTCTCTGTGTAGCTTTTGGATCCTGTGGTAGAACTAACTCTGTAGACCAGGTTGGCCTTGAACTCACAGAGATCCGCCTGCCTCTGCCTCCCTAATGTTGGGATTACGTGAAGCAAGCTTGTTTCTAACTTAAATAAAAAATAAATATAAATAAATAAAGGTGTGCACCACCACCACCTGATTAATATATAGGAAAATTCTTGTGTGATGGATTTGAGTCCATTTTATTTGATTCATCAGTAGTTTTAAAGTATTACTTTCCACAGAGTGTGACCTCATATGCATATGCCTGTAATCTCTATACTTGGTAGCTGGAAATAAGTAGTTCAAAGGCATCCTCAGCTACTTAGCCAGTTTTAAAGACAGTCTATTCTATATGAGACCATGCCCTCCTTTACATATATGCATATATACAAGACCCAAATACTATAAAACACAAGAGGAGTAAAATGAAGGCAAGCATGCGGAGAGATTGAAATGGCAACCACATTGACAGAAATAAAACAACAAAATAAAACAACAAAAATAGAATATCATAATTAAAGTCTATAATGAAACATTATTTTTAAATATTCTTAAGTATATACCATATATACTTAAGGTGAAATACATAGAAAGTATATGCAAAGCACGTTATTTTCTCGCTACAATTCTAACTATAGTAAAATCTTCATATCCTTCAACTTCTTTTGTTCAGTGAAACTGTTTACATATGATATTTAACCAGTCAGCTCACTCCAAACAATGATACAGCTGGAGTTCAATTCTGTATGAATTATTGGAATCATCACGTAGTTTTGAGAAAAACGTTTTTTTAGGGTATTGCCTGCACAAGGAAGGTCAGAACTGATCTTCCTACTGTAATACAGTAATGAAAGGAGCTCATTATTTTATAGCAATACCTCTACATATGTAAGTACTGTTAAATCAGTCAAGAAGTAGGAAAAGGTTAGTATGTACAGGATGGGAGATGATTTAAATTTGCAAAAATTCACTGAGGGAGCTATGAAGGATATCACTATTGGGACATTTCTCCTTGTGGTTTCATTCAACCTAAAAGAACTTGTAGTTTGCTGTTTTATTGAAAATCAAGCTTTTTAATTTTGTTATATAAGCAAACAAAATATGACTATTCAAATGTATAATTGTTTTCTATTGCTTTGTTGGAAATATCTGCGTGTATTAATATTTTCTTCTATCACAGAACAAAAAGTTCTCAAGCAGGTCAAAGCTATTATAGCAGAAAAGACAGGTAAAGAAATTCCTTTTTAATCTTCTTATCTAGATCAGTTTTGTATATAGATATGTATAAATGTGCAATGAAGTTAGTACAATGCTTAAGTTTTAGAAATTTAATTAAAATATAATCACACCTTCTTTCCCTGTCCTTCTTTTTATGTCTCCTATGCCCCATGGCCTTTTTTTTTCTTTATTATTGTTACACACATATGTACATATGCATAAATAGGTCAATACAACCTGCTAGTTCCATTAAATGTTGCTTATTTAGGGATGACAACTTGATATTGATAACCAATGCAGGCTCGTCCCTAACAGAGACTAATTCTCCTTCTGTCAGCATTCATTAATTGTTTGTAGTTCCTTAGTCAAGGATCTCCCCCCCCTTAAATGTTAGCATGTTTAATGTTTGTCATTTTCGGTTCTTGTTTGGTATGAATTTTCATAGATGAATCAAGTATTTTTAAAGCCCTAAATTGTAAAATTCTCAGTTAATCTGAATAATTTCAAAATAATAAATTTTCACTGAAGGTAGTAGAAACTGAAGTGACTTAATGTCGTTTTTTAGAGTGTGACTAGCAAAATTGTATATAACTTGTTAGGAAATCCACTTAAAAATTAATTATCATGTATTCTAATCACGTTTTCAAATCACGTTTTTCTCAAATCTTCAAATTGCCGAAATCTGTATCAGTCAGATTATCAACAAGTAAACATGTTTAGTATACAAGTCAGATGACCTGAACTTAATTCCCCAATTACATAAGAGAGTTGACTCCCGAAAGTTGTCCTCTGATCTCCACAATGCACATACCTGCTCACTATCATTCATCTATCAATCATCTGTGTGCCTGTCTGTCTGTCTATCTATCATCAATCTGTCATCTGTCTATTTGCCCATCTACCATCTATCTATCTAACTACCTATCATCTATCTATCTACTATCTACTATCTTCATTTCTATCTATCTGTCTTTGTGTATATGCATGTGTGGGAGACAGAGTCTGTGTGTGCATGTGTAAGTGAGATACACAGAGAAGCAAAATCAGATACATACAACAATAATAAATGACATTTTAAAAATAAAACAAAATTGCAGAATTCGATGCTTCGTCCTGCTTATAAATTAGCTCACATGATTCCTTTAATTCCTCAGACAGTTGTATGGTTTTATATATTTAGAGGTTTGTCCTAAGGACTGATCATTAGAACGTGTCCCCATTATTTCAGGTGTGGAAAAGGGATTCACACTCTTTCTGTTTGGGGGACTTTCCCAAGAAGACAAACAAAGCTTTTGAGTCTTGTTCTGAACCGATGTCCTGAACCCCCTACTCTCTTTCCTTTGAATTATAGAAGAAATCTCATCACATTGACACTGAGCCACATTTTATTTCACATAATTGTTGTAAAACAAATCATCTATGAAGCATTCTTTCCTTTGAACTGAGATGATGAGATAGAAGGATTCAAATATTTCATGGACGAAAACAGAACTCAAGGAAAAAGAACTCATATAAAATATAGGCTATCCTGAGGCTACTTCCCATCATTAAATACAGCCATTCTTCTGTTTCTTCTTACCATTGAGTAAAATTGAGTAAATTTAAAACACCAGTAAATGTTGCTTTAATTTTCATAGTGCACGTTAAGACATCCTCCAAGCCCGGAATGTCTCAGTCTATTGTGGATACTTAAGGATATAAAAAACTAATTTGACTTATTTGCTTTCCAAATACAGAGATTACTACACATGTTTGTGCATTTCATATATTTAGTCAGTTTTCACTAAGCAATATGAAAAATTATATTTGCTATTTTAACATAATAGTTCTCAGAAAAAAACAGATTTGCTTTAAGCTGAGAAAATAATGCAAGCTAAGAACAAATATACATGGGTATGAATGAAATATTTTCCCTGTGGCTAATACTCATCAGTATGCTGACTACATAGCTTCAGTCTCCAAAGTGAAGCTCTAAACCAGCAAATAAAATAGCCCACTAACTTCAGTCTTAACAATTAGCTTACTTTTTTGGTTTTTAGCATAGACTATAACTAAAGTTCTGTATAAGTGATAAATTAGTGTTGTTTTATGTTTTTGATTTAACTTCCTTATTATTCTCTATTAGTCAATGATTCATGTTTGTATGGAAAAAATGTCTGAAAGGTCTAAAAGTATTATTAATATTAAACAAGTAAGTCCATACAGGTAATCAAACACTGAAACAAGAAGTAGGCTTTTAAAAAGTCATGTAAATTTACAAAGCGAATAGCAAGGGAAATTAAATGAGTAATTTCACAAATAACTATACTTAATAAATTTTATATTTTAAGCTGATTACTGTTTTAGCATTAGGAAATCAAAAATTTACAAGAATTTTGCCACATATGTACTCAAATAGTAAGATTTCCTTGAGTTGACCTTCAGAGATCATTTCCTTATGCACATATTGCAATGATGGATATTCTAACAGATGTTTTTGCAGTTCAGGCAGTTGTCAATATTTACCCATGTTCACACAAGTAGTAAATAATTAAGTCTAACGTTGTGTCACAATTATTATTCTGCTTCTCAGGGAGATGCCTTTGTAAAATACAATCCAAGATTAATACATGGCATTTTTAACCACTGAGTAAAAATGAAATAAAAAGTTCCAAAGATGCCATGTTGGGCTGGGCGGTGGTGGCACATGTCTTTAATCCTAGCACTCGGGAGGCAGAGGCAGGCGGATCTCTGTGAGTTTGAGGCCCGGGCTGGACCGACAGCCTCCAAAACAATACAGAGAAACCCTGTCTCATAAAACAAAACAAACAAAAAGAAGCCATGTTGGTGACCCAGTAGATGAGGTATGGATAGGTTTGTGGAGCCTAATTAGAATACAAAAGTACCCTAGCACTCTTGACACATTTTGGATTGTGTGTGTGTGTGTGTGTGTGTGTGTTCATTGTCACTTTACTTTTGTGCAGTTGTTCTTCTCCCTATACTTTATATTGGAATATTGACTTCTACATATTATTTTCTGTGAGAATATAACATAACACTTAGGTTTATGGGACTCTCTTTTTGAAAGGCATCAAATTTAGCTTGTAATTTATTTTCATGTGGTGTAGGTTCTCACATATTTCTTACATTTTTGTCGTCAGCCTATCCTTTAACTGCTGAGCCATCTCTCCAGCCCGGTTCTCACATATTTCTATCTTCTTCAATGGCTGGTACATGATGTTGGAAAAGAATATCAGTAACTAAAGAGAAATGTTTCAGGTCAAGAGTGAAAGAAAGGAGAAACATACTGGGGACACCCCTAGAGTAACTTTGGAGATCACTAGTGTGGTCTGCTCTAGCTTTTGCTCAGCTTCCAAATATTTGCACTTCCCTTTAAGATATTGCACCACCCGGGATTTCAAAATTCTGTGTTTGGTGGAAGGAAATTTTACTCTGAATATTTTCACACGGTTTTGAAAGGTGTGTGCTGCTCACAAATTTTGTTTCCATTTGCAACATCCTGGAACTAGTTGAGATTAAGCAGTTGAGATCTGAAGGTCAGAGTGATGCGTAGGGATATGAAATGTAGTACACTCTAGTGTAAGGAGCATCTATACTGCATTTTAAACAAGACAAGAGTCCATGTCCAGAATTAAATTCTTTCTGACATGGAAAGAAAGAAAGCTGAAGACAGAAACGTCAGGGGAGTAAAACACTGGCTGAGGTAAAAGACCGACAGATGCTACAAAAAAATGATGACCTTCACTAACAAAACAGCTTCTTCAGATTGCTCTCTTACACATGTTGCTTCTCCTTCCTTTTAAGCCACAGGCCATCAAGAGACTGATTACCCTGACAATATCTTTCAGGTGTCCCTTGACAATGGATATAGCCCCGTTTATAATAAATTCTTGACAGTAGCGTTTCTGTGTTACAAGTTGCATGAATTTAGATATATGCTTCTTGCACATGTGAGGGCCATCTGCGAACATGAAATGTGATACTCTTTGCTCATCTCCTGTGAATTTTTATTTTCCCCTCTAGAAAAAGGTGAACCCCAAGAAAAAGAGCTTCAGTCTATAAAAACAGGTATCTTTGGCCTTTTGGTTAACATGCTGTCTTTGTTCACCATGTTTATTAAATATGAGCATTAAAAATGAAATAGGCTCTTTTTGTTTTGTTTATCAGTACTTTTTAGTTTTGGGTTTTAGATTATAACTGTCTCACCTGACAGTAGAGCTATGGTATTATAGGTAATCAAAAATATCTACATAATACAGAGAAGTTCCAATTTATAACAGCAAAATAGGACATATAAAGAGTTAATCATATATGTAGCATATATGATGGATATTTTTCAGTTACACTTTTTTTCCTTTTAGATAAGCCTACGCCATCTCCAAGTAAGTATATCATTTGGAACTTTAAGGATATGGGTATGTGAGATGACTCATTGGGTATTAGTACTTGTTAAACATTCCTGGTGACATAAGCTCCATCCCCTGGACCCGGTTAAAGGAGGACAGAAAAAAACTTAATTCACAATGTTGTCATCCTCTGACCTCCATCTATGTGCACACACTTACATGCTTGTACTCATGTATGCATTTTTACATACTAATAATACACAAGTTTTAGAAAGAATATTCAGTTATGAGAATTTAATTTTAAAATGTCCAGAAGTGGTAAATTAAATATAAAAAATGGGTTTCTCAATATAAATACTATTATTTACTTATATATCAGACTGTCACTGATGAAAGATAAATTTTATGTTCTATTTATTAACACCAGAGTATGTGTGCCTTTGGTTAGGCCTAAATCACCGTATTAGGATATATGGGGAATGCTTAAAATGTTTTTCTTCACAATGCCTATGTAGCTGACACATTTTTCTTCATTGAGGGATACCAGTGAATAAAGCAAATAGTTGTGGAACTGAAGGGATGTTTCAGAAGATAATGATAGTGACTGTTCTTCCATAGAACCCAGGTTCTATTCTCAGCACCCACATGGTGGATCAAAACATATGTAACTCCAGTTCCTGACAATCCAATGCCCTGTTCTGGCCTCCAAGAGCACCAGGCATGCATTCAGTGCATATACATATATGCAATCAAAACATTTGCACATATAAAATAAAACTTAATAAATCTTTATAAACTCACAAGTTATTTCATTTCTCTTTTCCCTCCTCTTTGTCATGGTTTATTCAATAAACACAGTGTGAAGATTCTTTCAATGTTAGTGTGAAAGTCACAATGTGGGTCAAGAAAATTCATAATTCAATAATGCTAGAACTTTTCCTCAATTATCTTCAACTAATGTATTACCCTTTATTTTCAGTTCTTAAATACTTGAAGCATTGGCTTTAATAATTAAAATAATGTCTTGATGTTTCAAATAATAATAAAAAGACATTGCAAATAATAAAAATTCTTGCTTTTTAAAAATCCAAATTTTATTTAGGAATAAAAATATGCAAATTGAATAAAGAGTATCTAGAGGTTGATTTTTCTTTAAAAAAGTTTATTTGTTGAGAATTTCACACATATAATATGATCATATTCATTTTGAATTTCTTCTCTCCCAACTTTACTTTTCTTTCTTTTCATTGAACTCTTCCTCCTTCTCCTCTTCCTTCTTCACCTTCTTCTTTTTTCTTTTATTTTATTGAAAATGGATTTATTTTAATATAATATATTATAATGGCAGATTCCCCTTCCCAACTCCTCTTAGAACTGCCCTACCTCTCCACCCATCCAAATCAACTCCCTCTATCTTTCATAAGAAAACAAGCTAGCATTCAAATCTCCCCCTTATCCAGTTAGCTGTCTTTGTGGGTTTCACCATCTTGGTCTTCACCCCTTTGCTTATCACTCCTCCATCTCTGTCACTGGGTTCCAGGAGTTCAGCTCAGTGTTTATCTGTGGGTATCTGTCTCTGCTTCCATCAGTCTCAGTGAGGAAGCCACAGAAATCATGGGAGCCTTGGGTAGTAGATCAGTGTTTATCATGGTTTATGAATGATTTGGGAGCCCATTCCAAATAGAGGGATGCTTTCTCAGCCTAGACACATGGGGAAGGGCCTAGGTCCTGACCTGGATGAAATGACAGACTTTGGAGATTCACCCAAGTACGGCCTCACCCTCCCAGGGGAATGATGTGGGAATTGGGTGGAGGGCTGGTGGAGGGACAAGGGAGGAGGGGTGGGAGAGGGATCTGGGATTGACATGTGAAGCATTCATGTTTCTAATTTAAATAAAAAATAAAAAAGAAAACAAGCTAGCATCTAAATAAAATAAAATTAAAAGCAAAGTGGAAATAAGACAAAACAAACAAACAGAAAAAAGAGCCAAAGGAAAGCCCCAAGAAACACACATACAGACTCAAAGACATTTGTGTCCCTTACAAAAATCTGATAAAAATGAATAAAAAGCATTATATAAAAGCAAAGGAACTGTAAATTTTTTTTTTTAAATTTCAGTCAAATCATTCTAGACACATAAACAAAACAAAACCAACCAACCAAACAAGCAAACAAAAATCTCAAAAAATAACATTGAGCTCATCTTGCATTGGCCATCTACTGCTGGGCATAGGGCCTACTCCTAAGTGTGGTTTGTATTCTCAGTGAGACTTCCTTGAAAAAAACTAATTTTTTGTTTGTGGGTGGTTATCAATTGGACATAGCTTCTAGGTAAGGGATGGGAGCTTATGTCTATTTTTCTTCTCAGTACTGGGACCCAATCTGGCTCAGACCTGTGAATGCTGTCAGAGTCTCTTGAGTTAAGATGTGTATTAGTGCTGTTGCATGCAGAAGGTCTTTTTTTCTTTTGTGGCCTTCATCCTCTCTGGATCTTACAGTCAATATAATCCTCTTCTGCGTTATATCCAGAGCCTGTAGAGAAGGGAATCAATGAGGATATCCCATTTAGTAATGAGTGTTACAAAGTCTCTCACTATGTGCACTGTTCAGTTGTGAGTCTCTGTATTTGTACCAAGTACTTCAGGAGGAAGCATCTCTAATGATGGCTGAGCAAGAATATGCCCTAAGATATAGAAGAATGCTTTTAGGAGTCATTGTGTAGCTATCTTCGAATCCTGTTAGTCTATGTCTTTTTGTTGGAGAATTGAGAGCACCAATGTTGAGCGTTATCAATGAGCAGGTTTTTTTTTCTTAATCCCTGTTATTATGTTGTTGTGGTATGTTTTCTCTGTCTTTTGATTTGTTGATCTGAGATGATTTTCGTTTTCTTTGGTGTAGTTAACCTCCTAAGGTTGATGTTTTCATTCTAGAGCCTTCTATACAACCAGACTTGTGTATGGTGCTTAAATTTTGTTTTTAATACAAAATGACTTTTTCTGTCACTTGTGATTGAAAGCTGTGCTGGATCTAGTAGTCTGGGTTGCCTGGTAGGGACTTCTCTGTCCTTGTCAGTTGTGGCCATTGGATATCCCAGGTTGGTTAGAAAGTATTTCTAGGTATTAGAGTTAATGTGGGTTCTGAAATGATCCACAGGGAGGAGGAAAGCTGGTTCTGAATAGGGATAAAGCAGAATCCCCAGGTAATGGAAACAGAGAGGAAAGAGAGATTTCTGCAAATGATCTGCTATGGGGCTGAAAAATAAGATTGGGGAATTGTGGACAGAGGACAGGAATGAAAGTGACGATCACCTACCTGATTTCCATGCTTGCTGGTCAATGAGTTCCCAGGTAGATAATGCCCCTGGGTACTGGAGTCTATCACAAACAGATGGTGTGAGGAGGAATGTTGGCTCCATGCAAGGTTCACATGAATCCCCAGGGAATGGAGGCATAAAGGGAGCTCATTTAAAAATTTTAAATGCCAAGAACTAACTGCCTTCTTAACAACATTGTAACGTTATATAAAAATACAACTACAGTTTCCTCTGAAGAGTTCCAGCATCAACCTTGAACATTATCTACTGCCCTTACAATGGAGGAAATTGTTTGCATATTTAGTTTATATCATCACCACTGATATAAAGAGTATTACTATAAAAGGGTTCTAAGCTAAAAGAGAACACATGCCATATGAAAATACTATTCTGTTTATGAAATTATTATTATCAACTTTTTATAGTCATTATTAAAAATATTTTGCTTCTTCTTAAACTATCGAAGTACCTCCCAGAATTTTACAGATGACTGATGGCTAAATATATGTTTTCTATAAATTCACGTTTAAGAGGTATGTTTTTATAGTTTGAAAGATTTATTTTTGGTAAATATTGATCTTTTCATATAATTTTAAAGATAAGAAATCTTGCTGAGTAACATTTAGAATGTTATTAGTCTGTGAATTAACTGAAGGAGAAAAGACAGACTGTTTAAGAAGTGTTACAGCTAAAGGTAAATGTCATTGTGTATCACTAGGAGCTAAGTCAGTTGCTGCTATAGCTTTGTCCGTTTTTCATAACCCCCCTTCATTCCCATGGCACAGCATCTTATATATAGGAATTTAATAAAAGTTAATGGATAATGCATGTTTTATGAGATCAAGTTAAACATAGATTCAACAAAGTTTGAAGGTTTATATTATAATTTTATATGGTTTACAATTTATATGTATCATATTGGATGGTTTTTAATAGCTTTATACCATAAATCCATTTTCAAGGTAGATGTCGCATCACATTTTAGAAGTACTGATTATCAAGACATGTCTCTGTCCTTTTGAGGATTTTGTCTATTTTTATTTAATAATAATATCTGAAAATAATATTCAATTACCTACTGAAATAAACATTATTCTCTTCTATTTTTTATGTTTTTAACAATTTTCTTTAAAGAGGGGTCATCAGAAGTCGCAGACTCAGGTAAATATTTCGTCTCTGAAATGAAATAATATTAAATTATAGAAAGCAGTTGAAACAAAACCTGGGTTTTTCTTTAACATAAAGTCACCCAAGTACTCAAATTCTCAGTGTTCTTCCTCATCTGCAGACAAACACAAACTTCCCAAACCCACTTGTAAAGTAAATTAAAAACATACTTCAAATTTCCACCATACATTTAGTTTTCCCTCATTATTTCTGGCTCTTGTCTAAAACACATACTAAAGAATATCATCAGTCAGTCAACACTATGGTTTGCTAATCTACTTCCACAATCTATTTAGCCATCCCAATGACTTTTTCATTGTTTGCTTTCATTAGTTTGAGAAATTGCTACACAATGGAAAAGTCTTAATTATCTACAGCAATCATGAAAATTTAGATTATTTTTTCCGTTTCTATTTTTTCTTTCTCTTTATAATGTCATAGTCTTGCTCTTCAAAATGCATAAGATAAAACACAGGGGCATTGTACATACAGGTAGCTAAATATAAGTAGCATACTTCTTTTCACACATAGAATGTCCCTACTCATCTTCAAATGGCACATCCCTCATCACCCTCCTCTTCACATGGGCTCGCATCTCATCTTCAACTGTCAAAGAGTTATGAAAACATCATGTTTCATAAGTTGATTATTGACTGTTGCTGTTTTTCTCCCTAGGGAAAAAGAAAGTTGAAAAATATCAAAAGGAAAGTAAAGGTAAACTTAGGAAATTTATATGTTTATTTCTCAAATTATGAAAATGCTGGCACTGATGTTATTGAATATATCAGAATTTTAATCCGATATTCAAAGGGTATAGGCTTTATAAACTTATAATTAAGAATCAAAGGAATAGAAATTTAGATCGTGAAGCAAATTTTACCTGCTATTGATAAACAAACTCCATACATATGACTTTTGAATTGTGGACATTGATGAGTCAAAATTCACTACTGAACTTCAAGATGTATGAGTTAAAGATTTATTTAATATATCTATTTTTACTGAAGAACACTAAAAATATATATATATTATCAGGAAAAGATAAAAATAAGCCAAAACTTTGAAGTTGAACTCATTTGACTTATATTTTATTTATCATTAAATTAAATTTAATGTATTCATTTTAAAGGTATTGATTTGATTAAAAGAAATCATTGATGAACATGCATCGATGTCATTGTCAAAATATTAGAAAATGAAAGATAAGTTTTTGAAATTAAGCAGTTGTTTGTCACTGGTGGAAAATATGAAAACTGTATGAGTTCTTATCCCTTAAACTTAGGTTTATATTAGTAAGCTATCTCATATCATACAGTCAGGTTTGGTTTTAGTGTAATCATCTGGAAGACTTACAGAGGCAGTAATTATTTAAGAAATATATATCAGACCAATAGGAAAGCATGACTGCCAATAATAAAAATTAAAAATTTGGTTTATTTAAATTTGAGTGCTCAAGGTGACCTGTTTTCCACAAATACTAATCCTCTAAATCATTGCATTGCTACTGTATCTCTCACTGTAACAGCAGAATAATCATCTTTTTATCACTTATTCTAATTAGATATTAGCTCAATATAAAACAAAAATTGTTGAAAAATTTCCTGAGAAACTAGTTATAACACTGCAGTTATTCTAATGTCCTAAATTTAATATTTAAAATGAGGCAAACATTTAATGCAAAGTTACTTTAAAGCTTCATATTTTAATATACAGTTTCCACAGGACAAGAAAATCTTCAGGTGCACAATGTGACTAAAGGTAAACTTGAACTTTATGAATATTCATGTTCACTGTTGCTGTGGGAATTAATATGGTACTCAGAAGTATTATTAGTAACACTTTTGTTAATATGCCTTTCTGCTAATTCTAAAAAAGAAAGAGAACAGACAGGAAGATAATATTTCAACAAAAAGTTAGGAAGTATGAAGGAATATTATCAGTTCATATATTCAGTGAAATATTTTATTCATGCTAGAGAGAAAACTATTACGAGAAAAACTTTAGCTTCATGAATACTATCAAAGTTTATATATTTATGGTAGTTTAAAACAATTTTTTGTGACTAGAGAAAATTAGCATCATGCATGTCTGCTATTTATAAATTCTTTTAAAACTAATTTAACCTAGCAATTAACTGAAAAATTCCAGCATGAAAATGACAGATCATTGCTCTTTAAAATAAAGTTATGTACTTGGGTGATACTATCACAAAACTATAAATACACCTTATTAATTAATTATACAGTAGAGGTGACACAATTTTAGGCCATTCCAGCCAGAACAGTTGAAAAGCACAACCAAAGCCAATCTTTTTCTTTGTAATAAACAGGTAGAACCTTGCTGAGAGGAAGGCAAGCCCTGGTTTCTATCAGGTCTCTTTGTTTCTTGTTGTAGCACGTGCATTCAAAAGGCAGGATGTCCCTAGATATATTTTGCCATGCAGTTATTAATAATTGAGACAGTACCATGACGTTCAGTAGAGAAGTGCTAATTCTCAAAGCACAGCACCAAGTCACCACCAGTTGATAAAGTATTACTTGTCCCTTGTTTAAGGGACAGTTCATTGTTTCTTGGTTTCCACTTGGGTCCTTTGTCCTTAATCATGTTAGATTTTTAAAGTAGAAGAATTATTAGAGAAGAATTTTAAGTTGTTTAGGTTTGTGATTTTTCTGTTTAAGGCATGCAGCTATAGTAAACCACAAAACACAAGCCTCCCAATTTAAACTATTTTCTTTAAAAATTTTCATTTCTGTTAATTCACGATCCTTAATTCTATAGTAAAAACTGTAGAGATCCCAAATTATATAACTATAATGCAGATCTTATTGAAATTGTATTTTGAATCTGATAATTTAAATTTAGTAACTGGTGGTAGAAGGAAGATACAACATATCTCCCTTTCTGATAAAATAGCCTATCTTCTGTGTATTTCATGCTATAAACATACAGTTAATGAGATGCACTACTCCAAATAATCATCACTCACTGAAAAGAAAAAGGAAAAAATCCAATTTGCTTGATGCATTTATAGTTATTAGTTTCTTTATGTAATTGGCAGTTACTTGTCTTTATTCATCTTTAAAAGGGAAATAATTCTCAATATATTTTATGTAGCTTAGAAATTGTAATGTGTGTACATAAACTATATCATGCAAAGCAATTTTATTCAAGTTATCTATAATTACAGTTGAACCAAAATAATTTGAACAGGTCCTTCTGATTTCAGCAAGAGTGTTTAAAAATCTAAATTGCTTGACAGTTGAGATTAAGAATGGCTCTTTTGATAGCATGCATATCTTCATCAATGAAAGAGACTGCACTATTCAAAGAAACATTTTCACAGGCAATGGAAAGCTGTATTTGTTCATTGACTCTTAATCAGTAGGAAAGAGACTTAAAGCTATTAGATATATTTATATTGTCTGTTGACACGTGGTACGAATCCCTTGCTTTATTATCTTAGTAAATCGAAGTGTATATTCTCTTTTCAGCTGAAAAACCTGCAAAAATACCAAGTAAGTACTGTTTGTGTTGGCGATAAATTTTTTTGGTACATATATGTGGCTCTAGTATACTTAGGAAAAAAATCATCACATTTGGGGCATAAGATGAGGCAGGGTACCATAGCAGTGGGAACAAGGGATTGAAGAGTTTCCTCAGGGGCATCTGAGATGCAGGGAAGTGGAGAGAGAAGACCGTGGGCAAGGCATGCTGCTGACAGTCACAGCATCAGTGAAATACCTCCTCCAGTTCAGTCCTAAATGGTAATAATCCAGTTCAGTACACACTCATCTCCTGGAAGCTAAAGAAGTCCTGCATAAATGTCAGTTACATGAATGTTGGCAGTGTGTGTAGAAAATTCCCACCATAGCTGTGTTCTGCACCCTGGAAAGTTCACAGCCTGAAGACTGCTCCTCATTTTTTATTATTTTTTAACATTTCTAAAATTTAAATTAGAAACAAGCTTGCTTCACATGTCAATCCCAGCTCCCTCTCCCTCCCCTCTCCCCCCTTTTGCCCTCCCATAAGCCCCCACCCAATATCCACTCCACTCTCCAAGGAGGGTGAGGCCCATCATTTGGGGTCTCCAAAGTCTGTCATATCATCCAGGGCAGGACCTAGGCCCTCCCCCATGTGTTCAGGCTGAGACAGAATCCCTACACATGGAATAGGCTCCCAAAGTCCATCTGGAACTGCTGCTCTTCAGATAGCACTCCTACTGAGATTAGCCAAGCCTGCCTTCCTGTTCAGATAAATATATATATATATATATATATATATATATATATATATATAATAGCTCTGTCTCCTTGTTTGTCTGTGTGCAATCACCCTGCCTCCATGTTGAGTATAATACACACATTGAGTTTTTTGGGCATCCTAAGTATATATGAACTTACTATAAACAAATTTTTTAAATATTTTGGAATTAATTGAAATAATCATATTTTTCCCCATGGTCCCATATTTAAGAAAAACAAATCTTTGAAAATTAGGATTATCATAACATAAGTACATTACAGCTATATATGTAATTTTTAATTTTGAAGAGTATTTAGCAATCTTTTAAAACATAAATGAAATTATTTTGATATTATTTTTGATCCAACATATATGTATATCATTTAAAACTATATAGGTTCATATCTTCTTAAGTACAATTTTAAAGTTGTCTGAGATTTTATACTTACAACACATTTACATTAGTAAAGTCCACATTTCAATTCCTCCCACACTGTGTAGTTAATGACTGTTACAAGGATGAAGCAGGTCTAAATATTTATTGATTATTTATCCAATATCTCATTACAGAAGAGAACATTAAAATTAATTAAGAAATATAACTTGCCAAGTCTGCCATTCAAAAGTTGTTTGATTGAAAGTATTAAACCTCATATAGTCTTCAGTAATTTAAAAAGGAGAGTTATTATAAGTCTAATGAATTATCTTTTGAATGGAAGAACAAGATTTATTGCAGAACCTACAGAAGAGCCCTAGCAAACTACACTGTTCCACATTCTTTCTCTACCACCCCTAAAGCTAAGGATCACAAGAGCAGTTCCATGGAGGAAGTAGTACTCTTAGGGATTCTCAGGGTATGAAAGACTGGAGGAAATGATAAAACTGGGAGATTAATGAAGTTGAATACACTAAATGTAGCTTGCAACAAACAATGACCACTGCTTCCCTCAAACTGCTTGGCATTATTTAAGTTGTTGGAGGGAATAGGGGTGGGGTTGTTTTCAGTGTGATATTTTTTATGTTTGTTATCATTTACTTTTCTCTTGCTAATGGAGGCTTATGAAATAATTGTAATAATTATCTGCATTTCTTGTCTGCTGATTGGATGGGGTTCTCTAACAAGAGATTAGGTAATTTTCTTTTTCTGTTGTGTTTCAATGAGTATGATGATTATCCATGGTGTTGAAGACAAGGGAAGTAATATTGTCAGATAAGAAAGGCCTAGTTTCCCTCTATGTGGAGTAGGCACCCAAAGTCCATTCATATACTAGGGATAAATACTCAGCCTACACACACGGGGGAGGGTCTAGGCCCAGCTTCAAATGATATTACAGACTTTGAAGATTTCCCATTGAAGGCCTCACCCTCCCTGGGGAAGCAGAAAGGAAATGGGCTAGGGGGTCAATGGGAGACAGGAGAGGAGGAGAGGTAGAAGAAACTGGGATTGACATGTAAAGCAAGCTTGTTTCTGATTTAAATTTAAAAAATCAGGAAAAAAAAGAAAAGCATAGTTTGAGAGAAAACAGACTGTGTTGTAGTGCTTATTCAGTGTGGATACCTGAAGACCTCCCAGGGGGCTATGTTCTCACATATCAGGGCTTCCCTGATAGGATAGCAGAGATTCTGAGAGAGGCAACAATACAGTTAACACTACAGAGTGGAATGTTCCATTCTTCAATCAGGACTATTGATTAAACAGCATATGTTCTGTGGTTTAATTTTTTGTTAAGGATTTAAAATTAAGATTTTCTTACATAAATACAGTAGGTACAGAATTTCCTTCTATATTAGATTAGGATGAATCATTCAGCTGTCAATAGTTCCAAGTTATCTAAGAAGTTACCTTGAAGTGTTAAATGAGATTTGGGTATAATTAAGGATTCCACCATATAAATGTTATTTTTTCTTGAATTTATATCTTTGGTATACATAGGTCTGTAAATGTTCCTCTGAAGTGGCTGTCCATTAAACATTTCTTCTTAAAAGAATATAATTAACTATAACAAATATGTAGTATTTGACATTAATAAAAATCACTAATAATTTTATGCACATTCCTATGTTAAAATTTTCCAATAGCTTCATGAATCCAGAATATTCTAAGGGGAATTTAATTCATGATTGAAGGAATATGTCATTTGTCAAATAATAGTCTTACTGTTACTGACTCATTCAATAGGAAGTAGCAATTGATTCACACACACAAATACCTAATTTCCTTAACTTCTTCAGCACAGAAAATACACTCTAAGCCCTATTTTTTTTAAATGAATGAATTTGTGGTCTTTTCTGAGGTAATAAAAAAATCTATCCTGAAAGATGCTTAAGAGTTAGTTCACTTATAAAATTAATTAACGTTATAAGAGATTAAGTTGCTGAGAGAATTACCTTGCAGTTAATTAATGAAAGCATATCAAACTTTTAACTTTTAAAGAAGTGAATTAATTTTACCACTGTACAACACATGCCAGTCACATTTCTTGTGCTCCAAAGAAAATGTAATGATCTTATTAATTAAGATGTAGTTGTAAGGCAAGTCTAGGTGTACTGTTAACTCTACTTAATTGCATTTGTGAAATTCTTGCCAATGTATGCTGAACTAGTCAGTTTAAAATCTGGCCAAAGTCCAAACAAGGTATATATTATCTGAAAACCTAAGTGACTATTAAATCTCAACCCCTGGTTTGTTAAAAGTCCTGGGGAGGCAGGAGTGAGTCATCCAGGTACTGTCATAATAAGATTTAAAGTATGCTTGCCTTTGTATCATTTCAGTCAGTGATATCAGGACTTGTTTAAATCACAAGGAAAAACAGGTCCTTTTTATTCATAAAATAATCCCTCATGACATCAATATGTAGGAAAGGAGTAAGCAAATGAAGATTGAAGAGGTATCACTGTTCTTTGTTTTTGCTATTTATGTTAGCCCTTTATCAAGATGGAAAAAAACCCCTCCATTATAGCCCTCCTTGGATTATTTTTCAATCATGAAGTGATGGTATTGGACTTTGATAAATAATATTTTCTGAATCTATTAGCATAGTGATTGTATAAGTCAGTAATTGAGTTTTTGATGCTAAACCAAACTTGAACTTCTAGAATACTTCCTGCTTGGCTGTTGAATAGACTTTATATATTGATGGTTTCAGTTTGCTAGTGAGAGATTTTACATCCCAATTTAAAAGAGTATAGTAGTCCATGGGTATATTTTTCTAAGGTATGTTGTTTTGGGTTTGATTTCAGAGTGAGACTGCCTTATAGAATGAGTGAACTATATATGCTCCCTTACATATTTTTGGAAGACTGCAAAGAATTCTTTAAAATATTCTATAGACTTAACCAGTGTTGTCATCTGGGACATGGGTTTTAGTTTGCCAGCATCCTGTTTATTATTAATATATTGTCAATACAATCATTTTACTGATTAAGAATCTGTTGTGTCTATTCTCCCTCAATCAGCTTTGATATGCCTTTCCAAGAAATGCTAATTTTTAGAAGATTTTTAATTTTTGCTTTTTATCAACCATGTTTTATCTTATATACAGCAATATAATGTCATATTAACCAACAGTATAGAAGAATTATTTGATATAATTTTTAAAAGAAGAAAAAAGAGACAATTTTCATGTTGCAAAAAACTCCAGAACAATTGTCATTTTTAAAAATAATTTTTCTGGGCATTGGTGGTGCAAGCTTTAAACGCAACACTCGGGAGACAAAGGCAGATGAATCTCTGAATTGGAGGTCAACCTGATCTACAGAGAAAGTTCTAGGACAGCTAGGGCTAGACAGAGTAACCATGCCTCAGAAAACAAAAAAGCATAAAGAATTTCATTTTAACTGACTTATCATGTGTAGAGTGAAGTCTTCCCACCAGCCTGGTTCCAGAGCCACATCAGTCTCAAATGAAAACACAAGAGGCTATATTAATTATGACACCGTTGGCCGTTTGCTTGGTTTCTTACTGGCTATCTCTGACTTAAGTATTTACTCCATAATTGTTAATCTAAGTATTTCTCTTACTGGAGAAAGGGGTCTGGACCTCTTATTCCTATGGCAGCTAAACATTGACTCCTCTGCCTCTCTTTCCCAGAATCCTCCTTGACTCCTAGTCCCACCTATCTTGCTTCCCTATTGGCCAACAGTGCTTTATTGACATATACATGGGACTTCCCCATCAATCATGCACAAATTTTTATATTCCTTGGTATATCTTTTATTGCTGTTGGGTAGTATTACTGTTCTTGTTCTCACAACTCCTTATAATCATTTGATT